GTGAGGCCATGGTAGCAACAGGAGGTTTCTAGCACAGCGTAGTCATCTCTAGGCTTCATTTCCTTCTCTGGGACCAACTTTGACCTTTAGTGTATTCTAACAAGGCATCTCTGATGCATGCCTGCCTGATAGAGGTCTAATATTTAGTCTGTTTAAAAATAAAATTCTATAGAAGCTGTATACTATGTGTAAGACTAGAGCAGTTATGAAGCCCTGATGAACCAAATGCAAATGAAAAGGACACAAGCGAGCTGTAATTAAGTTTTCTGCTGTCACTCCCTGTACATCTCCTGACCTTTGTTTTACTTTGAAATGAAAAGAATGATAGTGCTCAATCCCCCTCACCTTTCTCGATTAGAAAAATCGTCTCCAAAATGTCTGTCGATACCTGCCCCAAAGAAAATTTTTAATTTGAGAATGCAGCTCAGTTTTCTGATATGAGATTGCTTTTAATTAAAATGTTGACAGTATTGAGAATCTATTACTCGTTTTTTAATTTTCCCTAGTGAAAAGTTCAGTGGTCTCTTAAACTCCACAAAGATCATTTCTTTTCAGATCAGGCGATGTTGTGTTAAGAACTGAGTGAAGGAGATGGAGAATATTTTAGTATTCTCATTCACAGCATAAGTCAACTGAGGATAACTGTAGTCATTTATTGCTGTGGGTTTTTATACACATGCTTATGTGAGCAGTGGAAGTGTGTGTGTGTAGGCAGGATATTTATGATGAAAAAAAGATAAATCTAAAGCACAGAAGAACTTCTCTAGTGCAGACAACAGCAGAAACTCTGCTGTGTTCATTTGATCATCTCACTTGTATTATCCTTCTGACTGGTTCATTAAAGTATAATGAAAATATAGGAAAGATTTGCAGTTCTTATCAGGATGCCACTCTAATAACAATTGATGGGGAAGTAGGTTTATTTCTCATTCATTCCAGTAAAAATATGCTTCTTATATCAAAATATCTCAGTTGATATTAGGTATTGATCTCCTCTGCTGTTTTTCCAGCTTGCTGTTTTCAGCTTCTCCTACACCACTGATATAACACAGTTTCGACAGCTCCACTTGGATGACGTCCGTAGGTCTTTTTTCTTTGTATCCTTTTGCTGGTTGCTGTGTTCCAGCCAGGAGATGGGTTCCTTTCCAAGGTACTGAAACCAGAATGCTGGTAGTGTGTGGAAACAGAAACTAGTTGACTCTGACTGAGATAATTTGACTCATGTTGCTCAGAAGACCATGACCTTGTATGTCAGGGTTTTTGATCCAACAATTCTATACAAACTGCACTGCTTTGAGGTCTGGCTCCAAGGCTGAAAAATTTGGTCTCTTATGGACATTATAGTCATGTTCTTGTAAGGGGACTCATTTTCAGTGTGGCTTTTATTACATTTTGTCTGGAGGGAACTCATTCAGCCTTGACGGACTGTTTGGAAGATGTGATATTAAAATTACTCATGTTTTCTCATTTTAGAATATGACTGTGTGTTAGGAAGAAAAAGCTAGGGGACAGGCAGTGACCATAGCCAGTTGTGTGAGGGGAGAAAGGAGATTCCTGCAGACTAATGAGAAATGTTCCCAGAATCTGTCCCACAATTATTCATAGTATATTTTGTTTTCACTGTTAGAAATGCTTCTGGCTTGGGTGGGAGGTGTTGTCTGATTGTTCACTAACATAACAGTCATTTTACGTTTCTGAAATTGAAATTGCTGTTGATTGCTTTTTTTATTTTTTTTTTCTTTTTAAATACTGTAGAGGCTTAATCATACCATTTTTCTCTCTCATCATGTAATTGCTGTTAGGTGACAGTGATTTGGCAGGAAGGGTAATGGGTATGTAAGTGGGAGAGAAATTATGAGCAAGTCTGGAATAGAAGGGTTTCTTGTGTAGGTAGGTTTGTTGGAGCAGGAGCTGGGGCAGCCTGAAAAAGCCTGAAAACTGTCCTTAGAGTTTGCAGAATAACCAGCTCGGAGCGGGTCAATCAGAATTGCAGAGCAGACACTGTTGGATTTTATTGATATTGGGAAATTGCAAAAGAGGGGACACTGATACCTTATGAAGAACGAAGCTTAGAGCTAAAGAAGGAGACAAAAATGGTTTGATAGGTGCTGAATATAGGTGAATATAAGGGTTATCCTGATCTGAAAAGGGTGGGATATAAAAACTTGGAGCCATGCAGATAACTGCCAGAACCTTCCTCCCTCCCCACATAGGGAATAACCGTGAATCCCATGTTGCAGTGGGCAGGATCAGGACAACCTTTGGGCAAGAAAACTATGGGAGGGACAGCATAAAAAAGCCTTTGCTCTTGTTTCCTAGCCAGTGCCCTCTTCCCTGGCTGGTTCCTCAGTGACCCCATCAACAAGGTGCAGGACCACAGACACGTTGTTGCCTCCTGCAAATACGTGTGTGTTTGAAGGTGCAACGGGCATCGTTGTCCCAATAACTGCTACCTTGCTCAGGGCCTACAGCAATCCACTTGCATCTCTCCAGGAGAGACTTCGAGACGGGCTCCAAAATGCTAAACAGACCCTCCCTCCCCGTCACATACTTTGTATTTCTTAAGTGCAGTGTGGAGCTGTAATAGTGGGTCAACTTCTTGTAGCTTCATGGCAGGATTTTGAAAGCAAACTGCAATAGAACAGGGAAAATGTTTTTGTTCTGCTGCAACTGTTTCCATGGTGTATTTTCCTTAAATACATCTAGGTTTTCTTCATAGTGACAGCCTTTTTCGGCACTGGCAACATCGCTTCTGTTAACAGGTAAATTTTATTCATTCATTTGAAAAGCGGCAGGGTGCGAAAGAAAATCTTTCTACAATGAGCCTGCTGAATATGGATTTGGTTACCAAAATCAGGCAGCAGTATTATAAGGGTAATCAGTGGAATAATAACTCCCTTCATCCCTGTTCTCTGTAACATGCTCCTAGGAGCCAGAGCTTGCCAGTACTTGGTTGTCCCAGTTTCCACAGGGGATTCTTGGCAGGGTGAGTTCAGAGAGCTCCCCTGCTCCCCGGCAGCAGGGCCCCTCCAAAGGCACCGATAGAGAAAACATGCAGGAAAAGCAAAGTGAGGTGAATAGCCCTTGTTAATTTAACACTTGGGCAAGACAAGAGGAAGTTGGAAGCCTTGCTCAGAAATATTATATGCACAATGTGAGTTTCAGGAGAAACTAAATAACTTTCTTCCTATTTTTTTAATGGAAACTGCCATTTCAAAGATAAGTTGTAATGCCTTTTTCATGCTTCTCTAGTTTCGATCCAGCTTCTGTCTATTGTTTCCTGACCGTGTTCAGTCCCTTTATGATGGGAGGCTTGCTTGTGCTGAAGGTTAGTAATCTTAGTGAAATTTTGTGACAAACTGTTTAATAAATGGCATATCATGCACATAGCTGTTACTTTGCAATTTACAGAGAGATATATTTATATAATTGAGATTCATTAACCCACTTAATCGCATGTGTAGCTTTCAGCCTTGGTGGTGTTTCTGAATAGACCTTTCTGATTTTCTGTAAGAGAGAGACTAAAGTGTATAGAAAATATAACTGGCCTATTATATTTAAGTAGAAACTGTAAATGTAGAGAAGACTTACTTATTTAACAAACGATAAATTTTACCCATACTGTAATACCTACACAAGCATTGAGAAAAACTAAATATATATATACACACACACACACATATATATTTGTATGTATAGTGTTTGTGTAAATATATACATATAGTGTGTGTATATATATGTATCGTATATATATGTAAAATTAGCTTTGTCTATGCATTAAATACAGGCGTTAAATGTCATAATGACTAATTTGTCATTTTACAGTGAACACTATTTTTGATAATTTTTAACAGCTTGTTAATACCTTGTTGACCAGCTGGGTAGATGAGGGGAGAGTGGTGGATGTCATATATCTGGATTTCATCAAGGCTTTTGACACCATCCCTCACAACATCCTCCTGGGCAAGCTCTGGAAGTGTGGGATAGATGAGTGGACAGTGAGGTGGATTAGGAACTGGCTGGATGGCAGAGCT